GTATGAACCAATTTTTTGCAATTTTTAGAAGATAGAAAAGTGGATCTGATATAGCTTGCAGAGCTCTTTTTCTTTTCTCTGAGGCTGCGAATTATGATTTCCATTTTAGGTAAGCAACCGGACATCAATCCTAAAATATTGGTGTGATAATAATGAGCAAAATCTTGACATTCAAAAGATGCATTACGTGTAAGAGTGAAAGCGAAAGGCGGCAAAATACGTGTCCACTAATTAGCTGGAAGCGGTAAAGCGCCGAGCTCAATCCAAGCATCTCCATACTTCAAAACTAAGGGTAAGAGGCTGCAGTTCAGATCATATCGTCCCTCCAGTGTTGTACTGGTTGCATTGCTAGCCATATGATCAAGAAATTTCGCATTCGCTTCCCTAGTAAGTGACCCGTATTCGATAGTCTTAAGTCGTCGTGGTGTCAAGGACGAAAGAATATAACTACATTTCAATATTGCAAAATCTTCATTCACAAATTTCATCTTTACTGGAATATCGATGGACGTGCTGAACTAAATATTTCACTAAATATGCCTCCAATCACGCGCAAAAATTAGCAAAATTTTGAATGGAAAGCACACAGTCATATCTCTGTGAAAACTTTGAATTTGTTAGTAAATTTGGTAATCTTGGGAGTGAGTTAGGTTCCTTGTCTGAGAAGCGTCTGATGGCTTTAAGGCGAAACCACGTATCTCCATTGCAGTGTTTCAAAATTTACGCTCCTTTTTTACTTTTTTGAAGCAAAACAAGCTAACTGTATAGCTTGAAATTTACACAGAATATTCTGCTAACGGAGAAGGAAACTTACGAAAGTTACTTATGTTGACTAACCGAAGAAAAAGTAAAGTATGATGAAAGTCTGCAACGTCGCAAACGTAGATACGTCATTTTACACTTCGGCCATCGGTATGCTATCATATTTTTCAACGCGAGAAAAATCCCGGAAAAGTTCGAATAATCTCCGTTTAACAACCTTTATTGAGCTAGAGAAAGATTTGCATAGAGCACTGAACGTTGTGCGAACCCGAGGCAATTTCCCAAGCGTATCAAACATGACCGCAAGCTAGATACGGAGGTGCCGACGCGGTTATACTGCCGTGCTAAGGAAAAATGCCTTATGAACATTTGAAAGTTGCCAAAGTTCCCCGGATAAAATATGTGTTTCGACGAAATTTATGTACATTTATGTTTGAAATTTCCAGATATTTTAGATTAAATTTGATTGCATTTTGCAAAAAGGAACCACTAGCATTGCAATGATGCTAAGATTGTGCAACTTCATCATTTGCAATAAAATTGCGGAAATTGTGAAAAACTATGAAATTTTAATTAGATGGAAATTTTTGTCTTAAATTCACAGTTTTTAGCGAGTAAAATAGAAACTATTAATGGATAATCGGGTTTTTCCTCCAAGCCAAAAGAAGTTACACAATCTTAGCAACATTGCAATGCTAGTGGTTCCTTTTTGCAAAATGCAATCCAATTGTGAACGAAATAGTCTAAAACTTTTAAAGAAAATATGCGCAACTTCCCCGATCAATTCGTATTTCCTTGAGGAAATTTGGCAACGCCTGAAGGCTCATACGGCGTTTTTCCTTAGGACGGCAGTACGGAACGCAGTTCCATGACTGCAAGTATTTTCCGTCTAATTAGACGTCTCTGGCGCGAAGTGGGTCACGACACGACGACGTCTTTTCTTGGCGATGAGCTTGGACGAAGACGAAGGTCATTCTGAGGTTCGCCGCAGTCGCAGGCACAATGACTTTCACAGCGGACGGCGCCCGTGCAAGAGGAAATAGGGAAAACTCGGTCTATTGCATCTTTCATTAGATGACCTCCGACCTTCGTCATCCGCTCATCATCGCAGCAATCCACTTCGGAATCGTCTTCTGTGCTACTGGTCAGCAGGGGTATTGACAGCATTTAGTCCAGCCTCAAGTCACTGCTAAAGTTCTGAGGAACGCTGTAAGTTTTTCAGCGTTCACGCGCTGAAAAGGGGGAGCTGAAACTTGAAGTCATAGGCACGTTTTTGAGCGCAGGCTTGAAAATTGTGCGACAAATCTTCGTCGCTTCCGGGACGAAGGAACGTTACTCCATTCTTGGGTTGCAAAACTGACTCAAATAATTCATTTTTCTGTAAGAATGTACCCGTGCCGTTTTCGTCTAAAATGTGTCTGATTCTTGCTTGAGATCAGAGGGAAAATCAGTATAATTTTCAGTTAGAATTGGCTAAAATTGCTCTCGTAAAAATTAAATTTGCGAAAGGAAATTTGGCAACATTAAAATATAGTTATGTTCTCTCGCGAGAAGAGCGACGAAACATCCTATGATTAAAACGGAAAACCAAATGGTCCTTCTGTTGTGTTCACTTTTTTCTTTTTAACAGAGTAAGAAAGTAATCCACTTATTTTTAGCAGACTACTAGATAGGACTAATGGACTACTAGATAAGATGCAAATTTAAGTATCACGGAATTTTATTAAAATTTCATGCAGAACATGATTTTGTGCGATTAGAATGATTAAAATAGGCCCTTGATCAAGAAATCAATTTTTTTCGATGCATCAATTCAATCTTCCCGCTGATGAACATATCATCTACTAGAGTTAAATCGCATATTATAAATTTTGTCGTAAATTCTTCGCTGAGGCACGTTCAAATACAGTCAGCGGCTAGACAGTCGTAAAACTTAACACAGTATGGTTTGAGGTAACGAAAAAGTCGGGAAAATCAAGTCAAGGCTACCAAGTTAATGAGAGGAGAGATGGGAAAATAGAAATTCGAGATTTTCACGCGAGGTGACCTCGGAGACTTTAACGCGAGGGAAGGAAAAAAGCCTCGATCTCTGTTGCTTGGCAGGGACCACGTGGTTACGCGATACGCGTGATCATCCTTGAATTTATGATATTTTACGAGTGAAAATTCAAGAATTTTACCAACAGGTTAGTTTCCATGCATGGAGTGTATTTACACCTAAAACATACCGACAGATAGAAAAAAAACTAATGCCGGAGCAGGATAAAAAACAGACAACGCACGATCAATTTTAAGAGCAAATACATAATAAGAATTATTCCATCGCCAAAATTGTACGCGTCTATCATATCTACTTTAACATAGTGTACGCTGAAAATGGAGTCCTTGCTGTGGGTACGCTGTGTCCTGAAAATGGTGGTCGTGTGGACTGCATTATGAGACCGCATAGGGCGCTTGGCACATTCTGGTGCAGTAGGAACTCAGGGTGGCAATAAAAAACGGAGTCACTCATAACAGACATAACCTAGGGCAACAAGTGGATCAGTGAGTAGGTCACAGCTGAGCGGCTGAGGTGCTGCTGACGATGCGACGCGGCCCGAGTTTCCATTATTATCTGCGAGTCTGCTCTGTGGTTAGGTTAACGTCGTCGTTGTCACGTCGCTTAGTGGCTTCATGAAGATGGTGCTATACTTCTTGATAGGAGTGAATCGAAAAAATTCGAGGTAAAATTCAAACGTTTCGAAAAATTTTGATCCTAACGGTAACATGAAATAGACCGGGTTCAGCAGGAAGGAACTAAGCCACATCAACTATAGTCAAATTTAATTTCTTACATGAAAACGGTTGTGTGGATTTTCGTGGAAACAGTGAATTTTCTGCAGAGCACGAGTGAAGTCCTTAGAATTTCCAAAGGAATCCGCACAAACGTCCTCTTGTAAAAAATGGAATTGCCCAATTAAATTTGGCAATAGCTGACGTGGCTTGGTTCCTTCCTAGTCTAAACAACCTACATTAGAAACAGATCAATTTGAATCAGATCGATAGGCTGCCTTTTTGGGCCCTAATTTTTTCAATGAGACATTGAAGGTATGATAGATTTTTCAACTTACTTTCATGTCCATACTCTTCCAGTAAAATATTCATAACGTACAGAAGTGTCATTACGGAGTTAATAATGTTTTCCGAAAAGTGGATTCTGTTGCTTTGAAGACGCGATTCGTTCATTTCTTGGCCTTCACTGGTTCACAACACGATCCCTTCTTCTACCCAGTCTCCACATGAGCAAACATCTGAAATTCTAAGTATGGTTTTTGGAATGAGAAGTGGCAACCATCTTCAATGAGCAATGCTCCCGTGCTGCAGCTACTTATTTAGTGAGCGGAGCAAACAACTCTTACGCTGCACAAAAGAACGCTGCATACATACACGAATGATTGCCATATCCACTAAATGATTTTCCTATTTTGCACTAAGAAACGTCGACCCTTTATCCAATATGACTCGGTATTTTTTAATTTGTCTATTATGGCTCTCCCCCTTCCCTTCTTTCCATCTCTGTTCTACGACTCCGTTTATTGCAGATTCATTTTTGCCGTTCTGAAACGCTCGTCCTTCTGTGTGCAGTTATTTTATCATTGAACATATACTTTGCAATCAAGAGATCGGTGAAACTTAACCAGCCCCCTCCTCCAATGTTGGTCTTGATTGTTCTCTGGAAGGCTGATCATTTTTCTCAGTTACAATGCTTCAAATCGCTGTCCGCAGTTGAAACTGAGCTTCAACTGTATTGTTTATAATTTCCGGTTGGAAATTTGATATTATTTTTTTTTAAAAAAGATTCATGTAGACCAACTAGTTATGATTATTGATGAACTTTGTCGGTTATAATTGATTGACGTAAATGTTCCGTTTTTATCTGATGTGAATGTGTTCTGATTCTTCATAGATCGGAACAGAAAGAGAAAGGGAAAATTAACTTCTACTGGTAATAAGTTTTCAACATTTTTTGATAGGATTTTGAATACAAGTTATTTTTGTCTATCGACCCATTCAAATCAGCCTAAAGGCTCATGGAATTTTATTCTCTAGTTTTTTTATTGTGTGGTTCCTATCAGAATTGGTAGGGTAAGTACTGATTAGCGCTACAAACCTCAAGACCTCCGTGAAGGTAGTTCACTCTTTAATTATTAATGTAACTATTTTACCAGTAATTTTATGTTTTCTGCTTTATTTTTCAGAGTCTTGGGACCACATCCGAACAGTTACACATATTCAAAGCGGTTAGCCGAATCGCTGGTTGAACAATACAACAAATACTTCCCAGTTGCCATCGCTCGTCCGTCAATAGGTAATTATTTTAAACAAAAACAAATCATTTTCTTGTGACTTGACAAAATTGATTTCCTTGGAATAGTATTATTGCACTGGAGATCTTGTAAATTTTGGCAACTCATGATAAAAAATTACAAAATACTCTAACAAAGAGAGATGAGAGGGATAGATTCCACGGGACCATGGCGAATCAAATCTTGGGAATCATTCGGTGGTCATAAAGGTCAAGGTTAAAGAACAATTTAATTTGAACGAGTCGATCCAGAATTGGATGAAGATTGTTAAAACCGTCTTATGAAGAAGGAAGTCTTTTTCCACTGACCACGTAATTTTAGGCGCAACTTTTTTGGCTGTGCCTTACAGCTATAATATCGGTTTCAAAAGGTTAGGAAATCATAACTTGTAATTCACGCCCATCTCTGCCAAACTGATGATATCAATGTTAATGATTATTTTCATATTTAGTGTCCCTCATACTGATGTATATGTTAAGGTTTACTCTGCATTACGCTCCACTCAATATGCAATACATTTAATTTAAGGCGCACCCACTGTGTCCATAGCTGAAAAGGATGGAAAATGTAGAACGACTTCAATTTTATTGTATGCAATACGCACATCCATTGAGTACGAATAGTTGCATTCAGACGTTTTTATCGCTGCAGCGTGCCCATTGTCTAAGTTTCTGTCTAAAGTAACATACCTTGCTCTGTTTGCGTCAGTAAACTAAAAGGATGATTTCTCTCTCTCTCTCTCTTTTAAATTCAAGGAATTGCAAATTGACGACCACTATATTTTTTTAGTATGTAAAACAGTTTTATGGCAATTTTCATAGATTTTATTCGCTAGAATGAGAATTTGGAATTAGATATTTTCGCGTGAAATTGAAAATGTTTCCATTAGGCATTCTAAAATTGAATGTTGCGTGAAATTGAATGTTTTCCAAATATTCTATACGTAAAATGAAGTTGGAGTCTCGATTATTATTCATCAGAGTGTCTAGAAATATTCAGACAGTTTCATATCTGTCCCAGAAAATATTTCGACGAATACTAATTCATTTATATTTGTACACTATCATAGTACGGAGAAGAAATTCTGAGAAAGTAACGTTTGCAAAAATTTATCGAATAATAAAATGGAATAACAAACTTCATAGGAAAAATACCAAGTCCAATACATTTTCAATGGAAACTCGTACACTATACAGGGAAACGTTGACTGAGGGAAACCTCTTGTCATGGTAAAATAATAGCAAGCCAAGCCACTTTTTACGCACTTGCATTGACGCGTACAGCTCGGGATGCACATAGAAAATACTCTGCGATTATCTTTTTTAATTATCCATAACGTAAGTTACAGCTCTGCAGCGGAAATCGTTATCACCTGTACTCCGCACCACAGAGGACGTTCAAACCTCCGTCGTAGCTTATCTTCACAAAATAAGAGAAAGTCATCTTCATTTCAGGGTCTAAAAATTCGATGACACGCAAAAGAAAATTAGTTCCCAAGCGCTTATTTTGTTGTATATATCACAGGCGAATATTTAAATAAAATATTTTGCCACTAAATGATGCCTAGGTAGTTTGTTCAAATTTCCCCTGTTAAGCCGGAATCACACGCTGAATATTGTTTCTCAACAGCTGTACTTTCGAAATTTTAGGTATTTATCATCCACATCTGTACTAAACTTATTCGAATAGTTGAGACAAACTGATAGCTGCTGAGTCTCAATCCTCATTGGTGCCTTAAATTCTGCACCACTTTAGGGCACCGATTAAAATTAAGATGATCCTCATCTTTTTACAGGTAGAGTACCTATATTGAGAGAGTATGGCCACTGGTGTTACCACCTCTGATTGGCTCGGCCATCTTAGGCTGAATGGAGCCCTTAGGACCCAAAAATGACGAACGCCATAAATTAATGTAATGCAAAATGACTCAAAATGTAGTTTTCTTTGATTATCGTAACGAGAAATTTACCCAAATGCACTATTGCGACTTCTTTACATATTTTTAAGGCTAATCGTGTGCAATTTTTGAGAAAAATTATCTCAGATGTAGTAAGATTGGCAGCAAGTGCGGTTGGTGAAAACCGTCAAAAGTTGGCAATGATCCCCCCTCCCTTCCACAAAAACCAAAACAACGCACCGCCATTTTTGGGTCCTAAGCCTCTCCATGGGGCCCAGTGGCCATACTCTCTCAATATAGGTACTCTATTTACATGTAGAGTGACTTTTTCCTGTTTTACTTTAATTTGCGTTCACATTGTTTTACAGTGTTGCCAGCACTTCATGAACCGATCCCTGGATGGGTGGACAGTCTGAACGGACCCGTGGGAGTGGTGGTGGCCGCTGGAAAGGGTGTCATCCGGTCGATGCTCTGCGGTGAAAATAATTACGCTGAAGTTGTCCCTGTTGACATCGCCATCAATGCCCTAATAGCCATCGCGTGGAGGAGAGGAGTCACAAAGTAAGTTATCTCCAATTTTTCTCAAATGAACCTTAAAGAATAGCTTGATCGGCATGCGAAAAAAAACTTTAAATTTTCAGGATGCACCTCAGGACGCTGAGTTGAAAACATTAAAAAATGTTACTTTACGAAAGAAGTTTTAGTGAAAGTTTTAATATGACATGTTTTGGACTGCATCTTGTCGAATCATGACGAAATTTTACGCTCACACATTCTTTGGTGAACCGAAGAGATTTTTTGTCGAATACTCGAATTTCAATGTTTCGAACCAACTTGTTAAGAGATGCCCTTTTGAAAAGTTTCGCCTTTATGCATTTGAATTCGGTTTCCAGGGGATGATCATGAGGGTAGTTAGTTTTCATTTGATTGGCGCAGTACAGAAAGAGAGGAAATAGGAGGGATAGGGGATAGGAATGTGGATGGAAGAAAGAGAATGGAGAAAAGCACAGGGAGAGGGAATATTCCGCAAGGGGTTTTGAGAACTTTAAGGCTTCGTATCCACAATCTATAATATTTTATATAACAATATTTATATATCGCTGTTAAATATAAATTTAAAAATAGTATTTGAAATCTGTTTAAACTCATAAAATCAAGTCAACACATAATTTTTTGAAAATGAAGTGGGTTACATTTAAATTCATTTAATAGAATAACTAAATAATTAAAGTTTTAAAAAAGAATTTAGAAGTAAGCTAAAATCAAGTTATTTAGCTAAATTTGATATAAGCTATGTACAAATCGCCCGTCATTCTTATATAAATTAAGACAAGTCAGTCAGCGTGAATGGAGCTTCTTAAATATTTTCTCTAGCTTCGATTGAGTATAAGGTTCATCTATCGATGAAGCATCCTCATAGTTGTTAACGTTGTTTTCTCCTCCCGATTTTCGATAATTGATAGAGCCAGGAGCAGAGTATGTCATGAAGGATGAAAATATACGGCCGGCGCTATCCACGGTTAATAGGACGCACATCTTTCATCGATTAATTCTGATGGTAAACAGTGCTTGTTGGAGAGTCAGTTGCGTAAGAAACCGTGGGTATGGATTAACAAATATAATGGTCATATTAGCTGGTTTATGAGACTCCTGCTAGAATTTGAATATGATATTCTTCTCGGCATGCTCCTAATGGTCTGCGTGGAATATTCCATGCGTTAACGCACTGAATTATTGTGCCATTACAAAAATGGAAGAATAAAATTGTTTTCAGCGGTTTCAGACCACTAATTTTTTCTCACATTAATTATACCCTTGCAACTTTAAAACTAAGAGAAGCTCTTGAGAAATCTTTCAGAGAAAATTCGCATACATCAGGTTGGCCTTAACGTTGGATATTTTTAACATAATTCGTGTGGTACTTTTTCATAAAAGTATATAGGTACATAGAATTTCATATTAAAATAATACCAATGTGAATCTAATGTAAACTTCCGCCGATCGCTGTATAGATTTACAGGAACGGGTTCTTAAATTGAACACTCCACCCTTCCAGACTTTCCAAACAACGAAACTAGGAACATCGTCAGAGAGATTTCAACAATTATTTTCAGTAAACTCTGTTCGTCAAAAATTCAATACAATGGCCCTATCAGCTTGCTCATTTCAAAACTCGACTGACTATATAATTTTCAAATTGGAAAGTTTAATTTGCACCGCAAAATCTCCCCTTTTTGTACTCTGTCAAGAAAGAGTTTGCCATTTCAAAAATTTGGAGTTGCCCCCTCGGCCTATCTAAAAAAAGATGTTAAAAAAATTAGACAAGTTGACTGTTGAGCGTTTCTAGCTTTGCCAGTTGCCAGAACTTCCTGTATTCCTAAAAAATCTGATTCTTTCCTCCATGGCTTCGTCCAATTATCGTTTAGCTCCGTCATCCGTGACATCTCTCATTCCTGATAGACCGAGAGTCAGCTGGAGCCTCCCATCAAGGCCCCACGTGATCTTGTTGATTCTTAATTAAACTTTCATAATAATTAAAACTCTTCAGGATGTGACTTTTCAAATTGCCGCGTTACAGAAGTTGAGCAAGGAATTTGATCTTAGATAAATCATCTATCGTATATCGTGAGCGCGAGATACAGTGATCGAGGAAATCAGTGGCGTGGCGTGTTTTGCGATATATCGATTGTTATGCCATTTAAACCCATGGAAAAGGATCAATAAACAGGGTGTTCGCAGCGAACACCTTAATAATCGATTCTTTACCATAGGTTTAAATGGCATAACAATCTATACATCGCAATTCACGCCACGCCACTGGAGGAAATATACGCGTCTACTGCGCTATGTCGTGTGCACTGTTTCCTCTTCGGGGGTCAAGGCCTTGCACTTAACACTTCGTGGTCTTTTTACAAGTGCATGCTCATAGAAGATGCCTTACTGCAGAGGATGATTGAACGTCCGACCTTGAACTCGAGCTTGAGGTCATTCAAAGTGCACAAAGCCCAGGAAATGACGTGTAAAGTGTGCTATAGACAGAGCATTGATTCCTTAAAATACCTCTTTTTTCATTAATGGCTAAATTAATTGGAATAAACCTGCATATACATCCACTCAAAAAACAAGTATGGAAAGATCGAGTGACTTACCGGCCGAGTTTGGGATCATGGAGCCATAAGATATAGTTCGTAGAGCCATGCTTATAGGTTCACGACCAATAAAGTATGGCTCAGAAAGCCATACTGTAGACGGTAAGTCACTTTGGTTGGATCTCCGAGTCATTTTTTATGGGTCTCAGAGTCATACCTTTTTTGAGTGTCGATAATAAATGAGGGGCTAGGAGGACAAGGCGCATAAGCGCAGTTTTTGCTATTTCAAGAAATACGTGTTTGAAGTTTTGAAAGTACGTGGATCCCAATGGCGGAAAGAAAGTTCAAACTGACTTTTAGATGCTTAAAAATTTGAATTCGGGAGCGAATTTTTCACAAAATATGCATTAAGACTAGTTTCACTCGGAATCATTAAAATCTCGATTTTTTCGATAACTGCACTTATGCGCCATAGCATCTAAGCCCCTCAAATACGTAATTTTTTTCAGTTCAATAAAAATTAGTAGTAAATACGACATCAAAACCATTCGACAACGAATATTATTACAAAATTATTGATCATCGATTGAACTTGATTATAGTGATCGCCTTTTCGCGCACTTACTGTGGTGCTGATTTTACATCCGAACAACGTGGCACAAACGCCGCAGTGGTCTGGAGGACTGCAGACACAACACATTGCTTAATTATTTGCAACGCGTTTCAATTATTTCGCGAAAACTATTGACGGTAGCGCGGCGGCTAGGCTCCGTCGCACTTCCAGCATTCTCGCATTCTGCAATTAAAAATGAAAAGGTGAATGCAGGATATACAGTTTTCGAGTATCCGTAAATAGCCATGGGCAGATGCAGACACCTAGAACCGGGGGG